ACCTAGTAGTAAGAGGCAGAGGTAGAGCGAGAGAGCCCTGGCCGCGCCCCTTGGTAGCATTAGCGCTGCCTCCAGCCAGATGGTTCTCACCGAGAATCACTTACAAACCGGGGATTAACCGACAGTTACCCACCAAGGGGAGTCTGCTGTCGCTGCTCACACATTTTTGAAATTCTTTTGAGATTATGTGTATATAGTTTCCATGCGTATAACAACTTCCCCATTATATCTCTCTCTCTGCTGTAAACTCTATTAGTCACTTTAATTATTTATTTTGTTAATTGGGTTTAGCACTGAATGACTTTAGGGTGTTTGTAGAAATCAAATTTACCCTCCAAGGACAAAGATTTATCCCCAATGAAGGTGCTCAAAATAAAAAAAAAACCAAACAGGCAATTTCAAAATATCCCACACTGGTTAAATCAGCAGCACGCTGTTAGAACTAGAATATAGTTAGTTACATGCTTAATGTTTTGAAAGGCATAGCTGCTTTTTAGAGGTAAATTCCAGAGGTTGTCAAGTCAACCACATTACTTAAGCGACCTCCTGTAACATCCTGAAATGTGACAAGAAAAGCCAAACAATTCCTATCCTTTCTGAAGAAGTTAATGTTTTAAAAGCTGGCTTAATGTTTACAAAATGTTTCGTTAATGTTTACACATCAATGTTTTTAAAACCCAGGAAGGGCAGTGACATTGAACTTGGGAATCAGAAGTAAATTGTAGCTAAACTTCCAGACTACCTCAGAAAGAAACGATGTTTTTGTCGCAGCGGACTGAGGAGGGACACTTACAGCCGGCGCCGATGCGACGGTGGCAGCCCGCAGTGCACGTGATAGGCCGTGTGAGCGAGACAGAAGTGAATCATGGCGCCGCGTCCTGAGCGCCTGCCGTGGGCCAGGGGGGTCGCGGGCAGCCCCATGCAAGCGTCCAAACCGCTTGCAACGGCCCTGCCTGTCCTGTCCCCGCCCTGTAGAAGAGTGCTCTCCTGGGAGAGGGACAGGTCCTTGTTTGCGTTTTTAAACCACCCTGGCCTGTGATTGGCGCTCCCTGTAATTTAATTCTTCTGCGGCTTTGAGGGTGTAATGTTCAGTCTGAGCTCAGGTTGGTTGTATTCACGGTGAAGTAATAGGACTGAGCTAGATATTTGAGACAGGTCATGAATGTGAGAGGGGAGAACGCTTTCTCTAGGCTGAGAGATGAGCTTCTCCAGCCCCTTCCCCAGCCCTTGCCCTGGGGAGCACCTGGACACCTGAGCCCATCCCCAGGGTCAGGGAGCGGCCTTGCGCTCTTTGTTCCTGCGTGCGGGGAGCAGCTCGGGAACCAGCGCCTCCGATCTCAGCCTCCCTGTTCTGCAGCTCACAGCTCTGTCTTCCGTGGGGAATGGTACCTGCAACCTGAGATGGGTGGGGCTGAACCCAGCCCGTCCACCTGGGTCCTGGAGACCATGCTCAGTAGTGGCCAGATACCCTGATTTCCCCGGGTGCCCAGGGTACTGCAGGGGCGGCACTCACGCCCACCCCATAATACCACAGGTACTTTGCCTGAGAGGTGGGGGGTTGGGTTGGGGGGCGATGAGTGGGAACAAGCCCCAGGCGAACCCCGGTTTCATCCTTGAGGTGGCTGACTGAAAGGCAGGACACGTCAGCCATTCTTACCAAGGAACTCATTTTTTAATGCCATGTGCGGCGTTGCTGACCCTTCGCTCCTTTATTTACTGTCAGCGATTAGCGCTGTCCCTGTGATCCCTGCCACGGTGCTTTGTTTGCAGAAGGCCTCAAATGTATTGAATCAATGCTTTTTATGTCCGTCCCCAAGACTGTACTTAAATGGAAGCACTCAGGACTTTGTAAGCGGCCGTCCTGTCTTGTTTCGCCCTTTGCAGGACATTTGGTCTTGTCCAAAGTGTCCGCGGGGACTTTTGGTCATTGACTCATTACAGAATACAAACCTGGGATTCTCTCGGGCTATGCATCACTGAAGAAAGAAGAGAGACATAAGCGAGCATTTTACCTCCCATGTGCTCTTCATTACGAAATTACTTGAGGACACGCTTCTCAAAAAATGAGAAAGGGAAGCATGAGAGTCTGTGCTGTGGCCCTAAGCAGCCGGGGGACCTAACTCAGAGGAAAAGGATTTCGGAATAGCACCTGCACAGCAGAGCAGAGCTTTTCAGTCCGAATTAGAGAAGGAGCGTCCCAGGGAAACCCAGATTCAATAGTGTTCATAAGGTTTGGTTGAACTATTTGAAATTGGTGTTTTTATAGATCAGAAGGAGGTGAAGTGTAGCAACATGACATGCAACATCAACAGTTATCTTTCACAGTGTGTTTACTGCTTACCAAAAGCAGTTTTCTGAACTGTGTGTTGCCTCATTTAATCCTCACGATCATCAGGTAGGCTCTGTTATTTTCTCTGCTTAAGACAGAAAAACTGGGGCAAAAGGCAGAAGAGGTTGGGGTCAGGTTGCGCAGGGCCCTCCAGGACATGTACGTACTGGGGACATAAGCTCTTAACTGTGATGCTATCTAGGCAGGAGACAGGACAACACCTTTCTGTGAGATCTGACCAGTGCAAAGGAAAGAACTGCAGTATCGACGGCCGGGTTACCGTGCTGGGGAGCCCGCTGTGCAAAGCCCTACCCACGCACTCAGAACTGCCCGCCAGCTATTTCTGAAGGAAATTTAAACTGTACCATTCATATTGGTAGGGAGATAAGACAGGATAATGCCTTAGTGAATCAAGATGAGGATCTGTAAAAAGGAACACTCTGAGAAGTTAATATAATAGCAGAAAGGAAAAACTTAGTAGATGTGTTGGAGGATAGAATTGGTATCTAGGAATTAGAGCTTGAGGCAGAAGTAAAAGAGAAATGATAACATTAGAAGACCCTTCCAGGTGCCTCTGCTCTAAAGAACAGGCATTTCTGAGAGAAGAGAGAAGGGGAGGCAGGAGGTCACGGGTGGAACAGTTCATGTGCTTTTCAGAGCGGAAGTTAAGGCTTTGGAGCTCGAAAGGGCCTGCCTGGTGCGCAGCGCGGTGGGGCGGATGTCCCCACTAGAGGACATCAGTGTGAAATTTTAGGACCTTGGGACAAAGAGGAAACCTTACAGGCTTCAAGGGAGAAAATAAGTCAGTCACACTTAAAGGACCCAAGATTGAATGTGACTTTGGATTTTTTGCTGTTTGCACTATAATCTAGAAGTGGTACCTTCAAAATTCTGGGAGAAGATGATTTTCAAAAATTGTATATTTATTCTTACATGTTTAAACTTCAGTCACTTTCATAGTACTCTCCATTTGATGCAATACCTCTATTGAGATGTTGTTTCCACTGCTCAAAACAGTGTTTGAACTTACAGATTTTGATGCCTTTTGGTGCTGCTGCTGTTTTTTGTTTCACCTCTTCCACATCAGCAAAATGTTCTGCTTTGATGACTTTTTTCATCTGGAGAAACAGAAAATCGCTCAGGGTGAGATTAGGTGAATAGGCAGGGTGGGGCACGGAGATCATGCTGGTTTTTTTTTGGTCAAAAACGGCTGAGCACTGAGCCAGGTGCAGGCAGGGGCGCTCGTAAATCACCCATCATGAAGTGGGCAAAGGTGTAGAAAAAGTCTTCCAAAACATTCACTGGAGCTGAGTGCAGCCTCTCACAACAACGCCAGCTGGTGCACTGATTCAGATGGGTTCCTAGAACACTCACCTAGTGGGGGCAGCCTGTACTGTGGTACAAGCCCCCACCCTCCAGAAGATATGGAAGTTTGGGAGAGGAGAATGGGGGTATATGAGAGCTAATCCTCAGAGATCATAAGAGAAAGTAAGTAGACAGTTATTAAGGGATACCATTAAAAGCACATAATACAGAATGATGGTAGAATCTACCAAGAGAAATAGCTGAGAAAGCTATTGCTGGTTGCTTTTAGGGAGTTGAATAGAGGGTTTGGTGAGAGGGATGTGGTCGAGGACTTGGTTTTCATTATGGCCCTTTTGTCACCCTGTGACTTCTCAATCGACATTCATTTAATAAAAGTTGTTAATGAAATTTTTAGATCAGATGTCTTGCATTACTTCACTGGGTGTATGGAAGATCAAATAGAATAATTTATAGGAAAAAGAGGCTTGTACCCTGGCTGGTGTGGCTCAGTGGGTTGAGTGCTGGCCTGTGAACTAAAAGGTCGCCAGTTTGATTCTCGGTCAGGGCACATGCCTGGGTCGGAGGCCGGGTCCCCAGCTGGGGGCGTGAGGGCATGCGAGAGGCCACGGATGGATGGATGTCTCACATACTGATGTCCCTTTCCCTCTTCTCCCTCCCTTTCCCTCTTTCTAAATATAAATAAATAAGATCTTTTTAAAAAGAAAGAAAAAGAGGTTTGTAAATTGTAAGCTAGTATTCAGTGGAATGGTAATATGATCCTGTTGACTTAGAGGCAGAACTCGGCTTTGGAGGGCACATTTGGTAGATGACACTGTCGTCGTGGCAGTAAACTGGCTGCATAGCGCAATCACAAAACTGCAGTGGCTTACAACAGTAAACATACATTTTTGCTCACGAGCTCAGGGTCAGCTGTGGGTGTGTGATCCGAGCCAGGCTCTGCTGGTCTTGCCTGAGCCAGCTGTGACCCGGCTGGTCTCGGATGGTGGCCTCCGCCACGTAGCTAGTGGCGGGCTGTCCGTCAGCAGGAGCGCCAGCTCTCCCCCACGCTCCGTCGCCCTCCCACGGGCTGGCCAGGGCAGGAATCCAAAAGAAAGTGGAAGTGTACAAAGCCTCGCTGTCGCATCTGCCACATTCTTTTGGCTACAGCAAGTCACACAGCGTCGGGAGGAGATCCCCATCCTTTCTGGGAGGAACAGCAAATTCACACTGAAAAGGGAAGGTGGAGAAATGGGGCCACTTTTGCAATTCATAGTCATTAAAGCCAAATATTTTAATCCATCTGTTTGGAATGAGAACACAGAAGGGTGTCCGAAGACCTATAACTGACGTTCTTTTTCCTTTGTAGACAACAAGGGAGGTGTCAGAGTGTGCCACTTAGGTCAACAGCGGCAAATTCTTGGCATGGAGAATTCAGAGAAGACAGAAGTGGTTCTCCTTGCTTGTGGTTCCTTTAATCCTATCACCAACATGCACCTCAGGCTGTTCGAGCTGGCCAAGGACTACATGAATGGGACAGGTAGGAGCAGCAACCAAAAGCGGCGACGGGGTTCAGAACACCTGTCCCCCGACATGGCCCCGTGGCATATGGGATGTTTTAAGCAGGAGTTTGAGAAACTGGCAGAACCAGGAAGTCCACTCTGACCTCCTCCCCCACCGTCCCTGAAGCAGGTCCTGAAACCCTCATGGGAGAGGTGCCCGCCCTGTATGGAGGACAGGAGCGGCCTCATCTCTGAGGGAGCCCAAGCAGAACCTCAGTGAACAGGTTCTTCCTAAGTTTCCTGAATTTCCTGCACTTGCCTTAAAACCTCTGCCCTGCCCTATTTCTCCACTACTGTCTACCCGCCCTCAAATCCAGCACCAAAATACTCAGGTTGAACTTTTTCTCGGGGTCTTCATTTCCTTATGAAGGCTCCTGTGTCATGTAAACCTTTATGTTAAATAAACGTGTATGCTTTTCTTTTAGTAATCTTATCTTTCTCAGTTTAAGTTTCAGCCCCAGCCAGGGACCCAATGAAGGGGTCAAGGAAAATGTTTTTCTTCCCTACGTACACGAGACTTATTTTGTTGCATGAATGATCATGCGAGATGCCGATGGATGGGTGCTCATACTACTAATAATCAGGGAACTAAAGAATGACATCTATTTTCCCCATCATGTGGACAAAAATTTTAAAACTTGCTAGTGTCAAATATCAAAGGCTGGGGAGAACTGGGCTTTTTCTACTCTCTGGGTGGGCGATACAGCTTGATTAAGGTGTTTTACAAGGCAGTTCTATGTCATGTCTATTTTACCACAATTATATATGAATGAATGAATGAATGAATCTGAATCCCTGTTTAAAAAAAAAAAGAGAATCCTTGATTATGAAACATATTGATGATAATATTCCCTGTGCGCAAAATCGAACTTGTTATACTTCACTTCAAACCTAACTCTTTATCCAGGAAAATATAAAGTTATCAAGGGCATAATTTCTCCTGTTGGCGATGCATATAAGAAGAAAGGGCTCATCTCCGCACATCACCGAGTTATCATGGCAGAACTGGCCACCAAGAATGCCGGCTGGGTGGAAGTCGACAGCTGGGAGAGTCTGCAGAAGGAGTGGACAGAGACTGCTAAGGTGTTAAGGTATTTATGGTGAAATCAGCTTTGTCAGTTCTCGAGAAATGGGTTGGGAACTTTCTTGGCCTTTTGCCGTGTCTGGGGCAGCCTGTGTCTGTGAGCACACAGATGAACACAGCTGGCCCTGGGGCGGGACAGCTTGGGGCTGTGCCTTTCCCGTGGGAGGCGACATTATGCAGGCGGTTCTCCTCAGCTTTTATGTCTTCCGTGGTGTTTTGAGATGTTTGTATGCGTATTACTATGTAGCTCTCTGTTAGAGAATATACACAGACAAAGGCCAGGTTATAAGGTCTTTCATCACGAGTCTTAGGTATAAAAAAAGAGACAGGTAGTTTACGGCAGGGGCGCTGTGACACTGGATGGCGGCTTGGCCTGTTTCTGTTTGCTGCTTCCATGACAGCACCAGGGCTTGTCACAGACCTCTGTGCTTACACTTTTGGACGTTCCAGTTCAGGGTTCAGAAACCAGAGGGAGTAACATCTAGTTATTACTTAACACTTTCTTGTGTATGAAACAGGAGCGCTCTCTGAAAAACCCTTCTGCCTAAGGTCCATTCTTAGGGTTCCGAGCCTTCGGCTTCTGACCGCATCAGTTAGGGTTCAGACGGGAACCAGAAACCACCATGAGTGTTTTGAGCCGAAAGGCACATAGGTGTTTAGGCAAACGTGTTAAAAGGGCAGAAGTGGGAGTCGGGGCTCGTTCAAGGTCACGCCTCCTTAGCTGCAGCTGGAGTCAGGAAACTATTCCTGTCTGCCACCACCACCCACTGTTCAGCTGTCCCCGTCTCCTAAAGCTGGTGGCTGGACAGTGGGATATAGAGCCTGGCACCACACTCACGCTGTGATACTACCTGTTCAGCTTCACAGCAGTGGAAAGGTGGCCTCTGTTGCCCTTCCTCCTTCCCAGTCTCTCACGAGTGAGTCTCATCAGCAGGACCTCGGTCACATCCAGAAGCTGCTGCGAGGACCGCTGGGAAACATTTTCAGGGTAGAATTAAACACTGCGCCTGCAGCCGGTGCCAGCATGGTGACGTATCAGAAGGGCTGACTCCTTTTATGCTCGGCCCAGAGTGGGGAGGCTCCCGTCAGGCACCGGGCCTCTGCAGATCGGCCCCTCTGGCTCCGAGTAACCTGCGGTCCCTTACATCTCTCTCTCGGGAATTCACCCAGGAAGGGGTGTGGGGGCACAAGTGCCCGGAGTCTGTTCCACAAGTGTAGCTCAAGCTGCTTGAATAACTGCGCGGCGGTAGATCACCGGGCCCCTGGCTGCCCGCCCCGAGCAAAGCCACCTGCGGACGCTGCCTGCCGGCCCTCCCTTCAGGCCTCAGGCACTTGCCCGCTCCAGGCCCAGGCCAAGCCACACCCTTCAGTGGTCAAGAGTTTGACCTGCTGAGGTTTCAAATCCAGGCTCCGCCACTTATAAGCTAAGTGACCTTAGCAAATCAATCTGTGTCCTCTCTCAGAGCAGATAATAAACAACTCTGATGCGATGGCGACAATGACACAGTTGCTTTGTAAGGGCCAGAACGTTCCCTCCATCAGGCTCCTATGTCCCCGGGGCTCTAAGCCTACCCCCTCTGTTATGGGGATGGTGATGATAATAGAATTTTTATGGACTAGAATTTATAGGATAATAACTGTTATTATTTATGACATGGGATATTGAGAATGTTTAAGCACATAATCCGTGCCGAGTGTCAAGTGTAGTGCTTTGCCTGTAGTAGATAACGAGCACCCTTGTTGTTGTGACGCAGACGCACAAAGCTTAGACCGCAACAGCGACTGTGTGCGTGCTCCCAGGCTTCTCCTCGCCTCCCACCCCCGGTAGCCAGGAGCCGGGACTGCAGTGTACTGGCCAGCACCCACTCCTACTGACAGGCAGCAAGGGCACCTGCGGTTAATGTTTTAACTGTCGCCCCACCTTCAGCATTAGATCAGAGGCTTCTGGGTGTCCACAGAGGGCCGACGCTTCAGGCAAGCGCGGGGAGAACAAGGGATGTTCTGTTGCTTCGCTGTTTTACAGACACCATCAAGAAAAGCTGGAGGCGGGGAGCTGTGACCACCGGCAGGACTCACCTGTGCTGGAGAGGCCTGGGCAGAAGAGGAAGTGGCGTGAACAAAGATCAGAAGTTAGTCCGAAAAAATCCCCAGAGCCCAAAGCAAAAGGTCTGTGTGTTTTACCCAGACTTTCCAGAGCTGAGCCAGCCCCCTTCCCACGTTCACTTTCTGTTCAGGAGGTGCGGGTGCCTGGGAAACACCCCTCAGAGTTGCGGGGGCGGGGGCCGGGGGAGTAAATGGCGCCCTGAGCTCATTCCCCAGCTCTTGTCCTTAACTTTTACACGTCCTAGGTCTCTTCTGAGAATCAGAATCCGATAAAAATTATGAACCTTCTCTCCAGAAAAACACATACCCACATTCATTTTGACGCCGGGACTTGTTAGAAAAGCAAACCCTGAGGCAGGGCCCTCTTCCTCTCCCCAGGTGTGCCAAAGGTGAAGCTGCTGTGCGGGGCAGATATCCTGGAGTCCTTTCACGTCCCCAATCTGTGGAAGAGTGAGGACATCGCCAAAATCGTGGGGGACTACGGGCTCGTATGTGTTACCCGGGTGGGAAACGATGCTCAGAAATTCGTCTATGAGTCCGACATGCTGTGGGAACACCAGGCCAACATTCACGTGGTGAATGAATGGATCACCAATGACATCTCTTCCACCAAGATCCGGCGAGCCCTCCGAAGGGGCCAGAGCATCCGCTACTTGGTACCAGACCTTGTCAGGGAATATATTGAAAAGCATAATTTGTATAGTTCCAAGAGTGAAGAGCAGAATGTCGGGGTTATCCTGGCTCCTTTGCAGAGAAACACCGGAGACACTAACTCCAGAAACACAACAGCCTGAAGCTGCAGACTTCCCTTTTGGGGATTTGAAACAGTATGGGAGTCAGTAACTGGGGAAAAGACCTGTAATCCTGTTTCATAAACTAAAGCTGAAAAGTTTGGTAAAAGTAGTAAATGAAAGTCAGGGTTTTTTTTCCTCTTTTTATCAGAAGTTGCTAAGATGAATGAATGTTTCGGTATTAGGGTCTCTTTTTCTTTTTTTCTCTAAAATGTACTAATCCTTTTATCCTTAAGTCATGAGATTAGCAGCACTAAAACTGGAAGACTGTTTAATTACACTAACTATAAATAAGAAATCACAAAGGACATCCCGGCTTTGTCACATAAGAGGAGCAAAGCAGGACAACAAGAGCCCATGAAAACCCTAACGTGAGTCGTGACAGGAGCGAACAGTCATGCATTCTCGTTCCGAGCAGTGTGCGCCCAGCATGGCCACGGCAGTAATTCTTAAGATGGCCATCGTGCAGGATACGCTGCCGCTCAGTCCTCTCCAGCCGCACAGAGACAGTCTGTCAATGTGCCTGGCAGGAACCTGAGGCCAACAGTTCGTTCTTTCTGGCACGTTAGAACGGCTGGTTCAGTTTTGTCAGGATACACACCTACCTCAAGCTCCACCTTCGGAGGCGGGGAGTGGGGTCCCAGCCCAGAATGTTTAGAATGGCACACTGGCCGGTATCTCCTATGCCCACCAGCGGGGAGATGCCCAGCCCTGTGGCAGCTCATGTCCTGACCCTGGCCCTCTGCCATCATTTTTGTCTTCAGGAGCCACTTCAAAGATGATGTCACAGTACCTGGAACAGAGAGAACCCCAGAGGATGAGATGTCTTGTTCAAGAATTTTATCGTCAGTGCTCTAAGCCTTTATTGATAGCCTAACCACACAGAGACCCTAAAAACAGGAGAGATGGCCCGCAGGGTCAGCCCAGCAGTTTCAGCTCAGGGTCCTGGGTGCTGGTGAGTGGCACGCAGACACTCTCATCTCTGGCCAAACCCTGGGTCTCTGAAGAGCCTCGCCGGGTCTGTTCCAGCCCACTGGGAATCGGCCTTTTGTGAATTTTAACAGAAAAGGGGCCTTTTAAAAAACACTTTCTCTTTTTGCCCTTTTGTATGGACATTAACCAAAGTAGAATTCCCAAATAATTAAGTTATAGCTTTATATTAAAAATACAAGCTTGTTATAGGGTCAGATACTGATTAAAATGTTGTGGAAGTTTTACTGATTGGTCAAGCAAAAAGACCAGAAATAGCTTTTTATAGAATAGTTGTATGGTTTATGAAAATTGTTCTGTAATAGAAACAAGACTAAATTTAAAATTTTAATGAAAATAGAATACCTTTTGCAACTTAAATTTCATGCCTACACCACTCTAGATAAAGGATGTATAACTGTGTAAGAAAAAAATACTTAAAATTGTGCAGTTGTGTAATCAGATCTGAATCCACAGTTTACAAAAGGAAAATGTTAAATAAAATGAGCAAATGTACATTCTAGAGCTCCTGACATTATTGCTAATGCCAACAGGTCAACTTGAAGATGGGAAGGGGTGCACAGCTTGACACCCAGTCATTTTTTTCTCTATCTGCAGAGTGAGTGAAAAGTTAGAATCTCAGACCATGGAAATGAGGGTCATCCTTCTCCCTCCTTAGCTTTGTGGAGTTTGAGAGTCAGAGCAGTGCTGGAAAATAACGATCTAGAAGTAGAAAGTTATCAAAATTTAGCTTTGATTTCTTCTCCTGCAAAACTGTAATTAGTGCATGTAAAGTCTTGTGTGAGCTGCAGAAAGGTTCCAACGCTAGAAATGTCTCCCATGCTCTGTTGTCCCTGTGCCTAGCAGTGCCCATTCCCTGCTCAGCCATGAGTACATTGACCTCAAGCCCCTCTGGGTAAGGCGTGTGGATGGAGACCCTCCCGGGGAGAGCTGGCGATGGTGAAATAGCCCTTTGTTGTGCTATTTATGGATCAACGACTTTGTCCATCAAACCAGCTGCTTGGCTGGCTTGGCTTTTTGTCCCAGTACCAAGGATGCTGCTGATGTCACAGCATAATAGCATGCTTCTGCGTATCTTCAAGGACAGAGCTTCCTCTTTGGGTAATAGAAAATAGAACAATGAACTTCACAGGGGAACAAACATTAATAACTTGTGAACTCCATCGAGGAAAAAGAAAACATCATTGTTTCCTCTGTTCCATGCCTTTTTCATAAATTGCTGTTGCAATGTCAGAGTTTGGGAAACGCGTAAAGCTGGCGTTTTGCTTGTTTAGTGCTGGTCTTTTTACGTGTTGTGCTCCTTTCACCCTTGCGTGGTACAATTTAAAGGCTGCAAACAAGCTCACAGCAAGTCCTTACCCTGCAGCTCCAGCAGCTTCCCTCAGTTGAATGTACAGCACATGGAGAGGGGTTTTGTTTTTTTTTTTGCTGCTGTTTATCGGTGTAGTGGGCAACGGGGAACCGCAAACCTCTTAGATTAAGAGGAGCGGGGCCCTTCCACCGTGGGAGGAGACAGCTAGGAGTCTGCAACCCCCAAAGCGGGCCCTCATCTGACCACACTGGCACCTTCATCTGAGATTCCCAACCTCCAGAACTTAGTACTCCCTAGTGAGCAAGTACAATGTCAGAAAAGCCCAGGCCAGCCTCCTTACCAAGGAAACTAAGACAAGGGATATAGCAGGTAACATACAAGAACCATGCCAGGCCAACTCTGCATTTTGTACATTTGTGGTGTTCACTGTTTGGGGGTATATGATGTTTCTAACAAAATAATAAAGTCACATTATGGAAACTCAAGGGAAAAAAAGAAAAGAAGGTTCTCCTTGGGGACCAGGGGGAAGAGATTGAACCGAAGGGGCGATTTAGGCTCATCTCTGTGCATCGAAGTCAGCTTGCACTCTGCCCTCAGAGGGTCTCCTCGCTGGGGAGAAGCAAGCGCCCCCAACGCGTGGGCCACTCTCCTCCACCCCACCTCCCAGTCCCTTCCTGGGAACCCAGGAGTCACTGTGTTAGGAAATAGGCTCCTTTAACTAACTTATTTTTGGGTGCCATGGACATCTGTTCCTCTGCCATTCTCCTAATTGTTCCCAAAGGCCCCGCGGCTTCCGCCCCAACGTGAGGGTGCACAGACGGGCCCATCTCTGACACCTGTAACTCATCTACGAGCGGCACTGTTTGAACTCCATAATGCCAGCGCTTAGTGTGAGCTGGGCGCGCGCTACTGTGGGCCTGGCCTCATGAACTAGGTGGCGGGTGTCAACGACAGGCCAGGCTGGAATGAGCAGTTTGTCTCGGAGCCTGTGCTCTTAACCCTCCACACCTCACATGATGTATGACTTTGCCAATGATAGTTTAGCCAAATATTGAAATTGTCACCCACCCTACGGGGAAGAGTACAAGCAAATAAACTTTCCACGGTACGACAGTCTGATGGCGATGGCCGAGGGGTTCAGTCCACACAGAAGGACTCAGCTGAACATGCCCCATGTCAGCAATGCCTTGGAACTAGGGCAGCAAAAGGGCAGAGGGAGCAGGTGACGTGAGCCATGGTCTGCGCGCAGGACAAAGCAGGAGATGCCCAGCTGCCCGTGCTGGCGCCTTCACACCGGCAGGCAGGGACACTGCCCGTGACTCAGCCAAGGAAGCGTCTTTCTGGCTGGGAGGCGGGTCTTCAGTGTCAGGCCTGTCAGTTACATGCGTGCGGACGGAGTCCCTTGACTCCGTGTCCCTCTCTCTAAAATAATGCAGTGACCTCTGAGGCCCCTTTACTCTTGAAACACTCGACAGGGTGGAGGGTTGGCATTCACACTGGCTTCTCACCACTCGGCGCTGCCGCCTGTCCCTTCCCTGCTGTGTGACCAGGGGGCATGTCTTGGGACACTATTGTTACACGAAGTGCCAAGGGGAGGCACGTGTAAGACACAGACTCTGCTGCAGGGTTGCCCGCAGGCAGGCGGGGAGGGAAACCCGCTGCATTTTGTGCATCAGCAAGGGCCTCTCCAGAGCCACTCCCAAAGGTGCCCTGCACGTGAGCGCCCGCGGCCTGCAGGGCGGGGAGCCAGGGCCGAGGCCGTTCCAGGGGCAGCTCCTCACAGGAAGCTGCCCAGGCCGATGGGTAACATGACCAAAATGACATTTTCAAACATTAAGGAACATACAGAACATAGAGCTAGTGAACAGTAGAATGGACGGCTATGAAGCCTTCGCCCAGCTTCATCCGTAACGTTCTTAACGCTCTGACAGCCTTGCGTTGCCTGCGTCCTCCATTGTTTTCGCTTTGTCGGAATCTTTGAAAGCAAAGCCCAGATGTGTGACTTCATCTACAAATACTTCAGTGTGGGGAATGCTTGAGTCTCATTTCTACATTAAAACAATTGTACTAAGGACCAGCGGGAGGAACTGAGGAGTGCGGGGCAGTCAAGGAAGAGAGGAGGCTTTTTTTTGTTTTGTTTTCAGAGTTCATTTTGATTTTTTTTTTTGCGTAATTGACATAAAACATTATATTAGTTTCAGGTGTGTGACATATGATTTGAATCTGTCTATCGCATAATGGTCGCCCCAGTAAGCCTAGTTAACATCCATCATCATACAGAGTCACAAAATCTGGGTATGTGCACGTGTGTGCATGATGAGAAAAAGAAGGAGTCTTTTTTTTTTTTAAAAAAAAGTCACTTGGGCCCTGGCTGGGTGGTTCAGTTGGTTGGAGTGTCATCCCGTAAACCAAAAAGGTATGGGTTCAATTCCCGGTCAGGGCACATACCTAGGTTGTGGGTTTGATTCCCGACCAGGGCACATACGTAGGTTGTGGATTTGATCTCTGGTCGGGGTGCATACAGGAGGCAACCGATCGATGATTCTCTCTCACCTTGATGTCTCTCTCTCTTCCTTCCTCTCTCTTTAAAACTCTTGCACATACCCTCAGGTGAGGATTAAAGAAAACTCATCTGGCCCTAGTCAACCTGCCTCAGGATCTCAAGAAAAACAGCTCCATGGGAAGCCAGTGAGAGTCTGGCAACCTCGCCAGCATCCTCCCCTCTGTGACGCAGAACAGGGGAGCGAGGCTGAGGGCCCGGGGAAGCACAGTCCTAACTTGCTCCCTTCAGGGTGGCTCCTCAGGGGCCAGGGGTTCTCTTGGCACACGTGCTGTGTAAAGAGCGCCGCTCAGAGCGTTAGGGCCACCAAAGCAGACCTGAGTTTCCAGCCACGCTGTTCTCATCGGGAGGGATGGTCCTCAGGAAGGGTAAGGATTTCCCTCCACACTTGTTAAGTACCTTCAGCAAGTGAAGCACGCCCGGAAGGGAACCATACTTAGCTTGTCGTGTGCCCTCAAACAGGTTGGAAAAGGCAAACAAGTTGCTTCAGGGGACAAGAGTACCTCACTTTTACTGTCTACATCAGGATGTTTTCCACTGCAAGTAGCAGGAAGCTCAATTGCAAGTGCTTTAAACAATAAGGACATTTATACCAGAAGTAGAGACAGAGGGCAGGCAGGACTCAGGGCTCACGGGCCAGTGAATCAACGGCGTCATCAAGGACCCTGGTTCCTTTCATCCCCCTACTCAGCCGGTCACAGTGTCCTGCATCTGGGGCCCCTTGAGTTGTCGGACAGTCACCAGTAGCAAGTGTTTGTTGTTCATGTTCAGAAGCGGAGAAAGGCTCTGTTAAAGTCAAGCGTCTTTCCCAGCAGCCCCATCCAACTTCCCATACGTTGTTGGCTGCTTCAAATTCATGTGAACCTGCTTGTCCCTAAAATCAAGCACTGGCAAAGGAGACAGGATTTCTGTGATCACCTGAGCCTTCAACTACTCCAGGGCCCGCCCCGGGAACCGGGCCAGCTCCTCGATGGCATCGCTTCCCCGCACTGGGGAGGGGAGGCATGGACGGTGCGGGCTTCACCACGACATCCATGCCATTCTTTGCTGGACCAGTATCAGGCTCCATCAAGTGACAGACGAGCGGTTCCCCGACAAGAGCCCCTCATCAATCCACACCCATTACTGTCTAGAGGCAGCAGTGCCTGTACCCGGTTTGGGATCCATGGCTACCATGCTACGGTTTGCTTTGCTGGTATCAAGTGGAAGAAAAGATAGGGCTTGAATTGGGCCAAAGTTCTCCCTTCCTTTCTTTAAACTTTTAAAAAAGATTTTATTTATTTATTTTCAGAGAGAGGGACAGGGAGGGAGAGAGGGAGAGAAACATCCGCTGGTGGTTGCCTCTCGCGCGCCTCCAGTTGGAGACCTGGCCCGCAGCCCAGGCACGTGCCCGGACAGGGGATCAGACCTACGACATTTCAGTTCTCAGTCCCGCGTTCAGTCCACTGAGCCACACCAGCCAGGGCCTCCCTTCTTTTCTTTGTAGAGAAAATTTTGTTCTTTGTCTAGAAGAAACATCTTAGAATTGTAAGGGAGAAAAATGACTCCTTATCCCATGGGCAAGTCCCATTTATGCGACTTGAACTGAAATCCAACCCTGTCCCAACCGGATGGCCCCTGCCCGGGCTGGCACCAACGCCAAAATTGTTATTAGTTATTTCTATTATACCAGCCAGCACAAGTGCTAACATCATTATTAGTTATTCCCGTGACTTCCATTTTCAGGCCAAGATTTGGAACAATAAGATTTTAAGGGTAGGAAGTAAGTATGATTTCTTCATATCCTGTTAGCCTGGGATTTAAACAGGCTTCATGTTCCAGAAATCTGGTCAGAGTTCATGGTTCTGTGCCCATTAAGTGGCAACTATAGCCAAGTCTGGGTTTTGAAAACAGCCTCTCATGTTCCACCAAAGGAGTCAATGCCTTATAGTTATGAGACTCAACAATCTCATTCTGGGCAAGGCAAAGCGTGACAGTGCAATGCCACTCTGTTTCCTCAATGAAAATGGCCTTGCTTCTTTAGAAAAAGTGGTAGCCCTGACCAGTGTGGCTCCATTGGTGGGGTGTCATCTTGCAAAGCGATGGGTTGCCAGTTCAGTTCCTGGTCAGGTCTCACGCCTGGGATGCTGGTTTCATTCTCGGTTGGGGCACGTTTGAGAGGCAACCGATTGATGCTTCTCTCTCAGGTCGATGTTTCTCTCCCCCTCTCTCCCACCCTCCCCCTCTCTCTAAAGTAAATCAATAAATAAAAATCGGAAAAAAAAGTTGTAGCCATTCATTCAGCAACCATTCACTGAACCCTTGCCCAGCACCGTGGTAGGCCCTGGCGACGCTGTGGTGGTAAACAAGGTGAGCATGGTCTCCACCCTTGAAATTTTAATGAAAAAGGTAGTTGACAAACAAACCGAAAAAATGATCGTTATGGGTTATGATAGTTATGAGGGCAATAAGCAGAGATGTGACGCAGAGTAAACATGTATTGGAAGTATATCAAAGGCTGTTCAGAAAAGCTGACATTCATAGAGATTTTCGAAGAGATCCAAGGCTTTCTCTGTCCAGGTTCTAAACAAACTAGACAATAAGATGAAAAACAAAACACGTGGAGAACCAAAATTACACCTTCATTACTGACAAAGTCTAGGTTAGAAGTCATAACTTAGTGTGAGGGCCAAAAGAGGGCTAGGTGCCCACGACAGACGGTGTTTGCAAAGGGGGCTATTCTAAGATCTCCCATCCCACCTGCTATCCCTACAATGTGACATTGAGAGATGAGCTCCACATCCCCTCCCTTTGAATCTGGGCGGGCCTATGACTCTGGTAGAAGTGCTGTTACATGACTTCTGAGACTAGGTCAGAAAAGATGGTACGGCCCCTTCCTGGTGCTCCTGGGATGCTCCCTCTTGGAACCCAGCCAGCCGCCCATGCTGCAAGGGAGCCCAGCAGCCCGCACTGAGGCCCACATGAAAAGGAACCTGGACCCCTGCCCCCTGGCCTGGCTGGGCACCCAGCTAAGAGACAGCCAGAAGCAATGTACCAGCTGGGAGACTGAGCCATTTTGGAAGTGACTTCCCCAGCCCTCCAAACTGAGATCAAGTTACTACCCCAGCTGCTGCCGCACAAAGCTGAGATGAGCTGTCTCCTGTGACCCCTTCCCACATTGCAGAGTTGTGAGCAAATTTAATGGTTTTTGTTATTTTTGTATCCACTACACTGGGGAGACAATAATAACTTACACACTAACTCCCCTAGCCTAGACCTTGGAACAGGCTACTGGAGGGAAAGTTTGGGCCTGTAAAACAGACATACGCTCAAGTCCCTGTTTAAAGAGGAGAAGGAAAAAAGAGGAATACCCTGTGTTTAGAATTTTTGATAGATTCACAGCCAGGTTGATAAAAACTGGATCAATGGCAAGCAACTCATTCAGGTTTTCCTGGAACTTCTGCAGTTTCAGGGGGGGAAGTGGCATGTCCTTGATGCTCCTTCCGCCTTCAGGGAACTAGCATGGTGGTCGCCCAGGTTGCCCTTGACCAGGTAACTCATGCCACCTCCACGAGGAGAAAGTAAGCATTTGGAAGAGGCCAGGGTATTTGGGGAGCGCTCCTCTCTGCGGAGAGCATGATCAGGAAAGATTGGACCCTTAAGAGTAACTTTGGAACTGGATGCCAAAGTTGCCAACCACACAAAAACCAGGAGAAAAACACCCCAGAGAGACGAGCACCACATACAGACCCTGAAAAAGGACAGGGTCTCACCTCTTCACAGAGCCATGGCCACGACAAAACTGGTGTGATGGGAGGTCCTGAGTCAGAATGCAGCACCGCTGTCGGTGAAGTATCCAGAGGCCAGATCAGGAATGGCTTCATGTACCATGGCAGAGTGCAAATTTCTACTTAAGAAAAATGGGCCCCAGCTGGGGTGGCTCACTCAGGTGGGCATCGTCCTGGAAACCGAAAGGTCGCTGGCTCGATGCCCGATTGGGGCACGTGTCTGGGTTGCAGTTTTGGTCCCCAGTTGGGCCTTTACAGAAGGCATGCAATCGATGTTTCTCTCCCACTCTTTCTTCCCCCTTTCCACTCTCTCTCTCTCTCTCTCCCCTCCCCCCCCCCACACACAAAGTATGCCCTGACCGGTGTGGCTCATTTGGTTGAGTGTTGTCCTGTGAAGCAAAAGGTCACCAGTTTGATTACTGGTCAGAGACATGACTGGGTTGCCGGTTCAGTCCCCGGCTAGGGCGCTTATGAGAAGCAACCAACTGATGTTTTTCTCTTGCATTGATGTGTCTCTCCCTCTCTCTCCCTCCCTTCCTTTCTCTCTAAAAATAAATATATAAAATCTTAAAAGAACAGAAGAAGAATGGGACAACACTGAAGAGTTTCAAGCAGAGCAGTGATAAGATCTGAATTACATTTCTCAAAATCTCGTCCTGGCTGCAGTATGGAGAATGGTTTGGTGAGATCAGAGCTGAAGCAGCAAGCTCAGGGAGGAGGCAAGACATAAAAGAGGGGGATTGGGTTAGGATGGAAGAACCAACACGTCTCGCTGATGGACTGGAGACAGGTGCGCAGAGAAGGGAGCAATCCATGGTACCGACTGGGTTTGGCTTGAGCAACCAGGTGACCAGCGGTGCAACTGACAGAGATGAGGGAAGCTGGAGAATACTTTCGTTTCACGCTTTCTGTCTTGGGCCTGTTCAGTTCGGGATGCCTTTAAGACATCCAAGTGGAGATGTCAAGTAGGCAGTGAGAGCCGGCACGTGAGCTCAGGAGTCAGGCTGCCTAGGTTTGCAACCAGACTCTTCCACCACCTCTGTGAGCTTCGGCAAGTTACCTAACCTTCTCTTTGTCTCGGTCAATGGAGAGAATGAAGTAACGATTGGAGAAGTAGGATTTTGTGCCCAATGATAATATACACAGTAATTACGCAATACATTCTGGCTCTTAATATATTGGAGTCTAGAGCTCATGAGAGGGGTCAGAAATGAATGCTTACATCTTAGAGGCGTCCTATACATTAATAGTTTTTGTGGCTAATGTTTCAGGTTAGCCCACATTCCCAAACTCCTTCTCTTTTGCCTTTCTTTACAGTCCGGACTAAATCTAGGTACTAGAGTCCCCGAGCTCCCTTGCAGTTGGAAGTGGCATAAGATACAGCTTTGTCCAATGAATGTAAAGAAAAATCTGAAGTGACAATGGCAGATGGCGCTTTCCCTCCCGATTCCAACCTTGAATGTGAGGGTGTCCTGGCTGTAGACCCCACGGTCAGGGAGCTCATCACAGTGAGGTAAGGCCACCGAATCACAGAGAGGCCACTTCCGCGCTGTGGAGTTGCCAAATCGTGACCAACAACCACTTAGCCCTGGGCTGCTGGATAGGTAAGAAAAACAACCCTGTGTTTATTGAGACAACTAGGTCTGGGTTTATCAATATATTATTTGCAGCGGACACAGCGATGAACGCCCTGAGTCTGAAGGCGACCCCTTGGCCCTTAACCTGAAGCAGAGAAAAAAGTGTGGCCCCCAGCACAGCCTGGGCAGGCCCACGGATGCCTCTGGAGCAGGAGGAACCCCAGGAGCCGGAGCTTCCCAGGGCCGTAGCGAAGGGAGCCAGAAGGCCCTGGGCTGCCCCGGGCTGACCGTCGGGCGCCCCCCGGCCCCGCCCCTCGCGGGCCGCCCGGTCCCGCCCCCGGGGCCCCGCACTTAGGGCCGAGCGCGCCGCCCGCCAGCCCGTGCGCCCCCGAGTCGCCCAGCCCCACCATGCCCGCCGACCTCAGCGGCACTTGGAACCTGCTCACCAGCGACAACTTCGAGGGCTACCTGCTGGCTCTAGGTAGGCGGAGGGGCCGCGGGCGGTCGCGCCCGTCTTGGGTCTGGACGACAGCCTGTCAGTCCGTGTCCCCGGGCGGCCGGCTCCCTGTCTGTCCTTCCCGCGTGCGTTCGTCCCCGGGCGCGTCCGTCTGAGCGCCCCCAAGTCTGTCCTGCGTCCCCCACTCCACCTGCCCGTCCCCTCGTTCCCGGTCCCCCAGCCCTGCTGTCTCTCCTGTCCCGTAGTCCTCCGCCTCCCCGTCGATCCACCCCACCCAGTCTGTCTGCGGGTCCGGGCGCCCGTCCCCTGCTCCCTGTCCTTCCACCTCCGCCAGCGCCCCGTCCCTCGCCCGTCCCGCCGCCCCCTGACCTCGCCTGGCCCCCCGACCCGCCTTAGTGTCGTCCCCTCGACCGTCCTTCTACCCCGCGGGTGGCCAAGGGTCCTGCCCCTGCGTGGATTCTAACCAGGCGAGGGCCGCTGGCGTGGGATACCTCGCAGGAGGGCTCGCGGACACCACGGGACTGCGGCCACGCGCGAGGGCGTCCCAGCCGAAGCCCCTCTGCAGGCATTTTTAAGGCGCGGCTCTGGGCAGCCGGCCCGATCCCTGGAGCCCAGGGGCGCCCCAGGGAGGTCCCGGCCGGCAGCACCGGTGTCCCGGGCGCTGCTCCGGAGCCCGGCGTCCGAGCTCCGGCCGCGGCCGGTGCACGGGCGCCCCGCCCCGCCCTGCCCTCCCTGCCCGCTAGATTCAAACCGGGTCTGAAATCTTCCGTTTTCTGGCGTCCACATCTTCCCCGGAGGACTTCGGGGGTGTCAAGATCCCAGGCCCCTTAGAGGCCGCTTGCCCCTCCTCGCTCCCCGCCTTGGTGATGCAGTTCCAGCCCAGGGTGGGGCGGCGGCGGGGGCGGTCAGTGGGTGCCTGAAAGGGTCCCCCGCTTGGGTCGCCCGCTGTCCAGCCAGCAGCCCCGAGCGCTTAGGGAGCGGAGGGACCACTGAGTCAAGCCGGGGTGTATGCGTTGGGGGTGGGGGGTGCGGTGGGAGACTGACCAATGTCCTTGTTTCCCAGGGGGGCTGGAGAAAGTTTTCCGGCCTAACGGTGGAAGGCCTTCCTTCCTTCCAGACCCCGGTCTGCCCCGCCCTTACTCTCAGTCTTTAGATTTGGTGGATCTGAGCACCTACTTTGTGCCAAGTGCTTTTGACTAAATGACGCCAATCCGTGGCGCTTTTGACAGAGGAGCCAGAGCTGGGGCCCAGAGAACGGGGCCTGGGGGCGACTCCAGCTCCTCCTCCTTTGATCTGATGCGGGGCCTCAGTTTCTCCATCTGTAAGTTAAGACAGGAATCCAATTTTTTTTCCTGTGATAAAATATGGATAACATAAAATTGGTCATTTTAACCCTTTGTGAAATGTACAGTTCTCTGGCCCAGGCATGGTTTTAAGGTCTCTGACCCCTTGGTAGGATTCTCCTCCCCTCCCTTTCTCACACTAAGTAGGGAAGGCTAGAGCTTCTCAAACGAAATCTGATTTACATTGATCTGATTTTATTACTCAAAAAATTGTTCCCCTCTACCTATCTGGTTCATTGGCTGGGGCTCTCTAAATTAGACTAACGGAAGAGAGATTAGCAAGAGACAGACAAACAGAAATTTAGCACACGCATCCTGCGTACACTCAGGGGTACGCAGCAATGAGTACCTCAAAGGAGCAGTCAGAACTTGAGCTTATGTAGCATCTTAGCAAAGAGTAATAATTTTGTAGAGGAGCGACAAGACAAAAGGACTTTCCGTTTCCAGGGTGGCAAATAATGGGGAAGTAAATATATGAGAAAACTAATGGAAAAGAAGGGCTAGTTAGTAAAGTTGATTATGTAGATTCTCCTGGTGCCATTTCCAGGCTGATAAGAGTCAAAGGTTGTCTCCTAACTTCTGTCTGTCCTGGTACAGACGGGACAGGGAGTGTGGGTGAGAGACTGTTCTATGACATGGCCAATGTCTGTCCTGCAAGCTGGGCCAGGTCAGAAAGGTGTAACTTTCTGCAACCCCCCCTTAGAGAGAGACTGTCCGGTCGTAATCAGTGTTCATTCGGACAGAAATCAGGGCCTTGCCCGTGCCTCCTGCTGTGCGCTGGTTCCTGGAACACATGTGGTCGTGACCTAGTTAGGCACGTAACGTAATTTCCTGTACTTGGTAGCATTTACGTACTAGTACTTGCGACTGTCCCCACCTTTACCCTAGATGATATTTTGGCACTTGCCAAGCAGTGAGGGGATCCATTTCGTCTTGTAGCTGCCGAAGACATGCTTCGTATGTAAGTTCCCCTTAATAATCTCTCTTAATTACCAGAGGCCAGCCTCTTTTTTCCATCCCTTCTGCCCTCTGCTTGCAGAGGTAGACGCACTACACTAAGGTGCCCTGTGTTGAGTGACCGTGTCCTGAACCCCACGGGTACAGAGTTTCTGTTCAGGAGAATAAAAAAATTCTGGAAAGGAATAATGTTGATAGTTGCATAACATTGTGACTGTACGAAGCCACTGAATTGTATGCTTAAAAATGGGTAAAATGGTAAAATTTGTCTATTTTACCACAATAAAAAATTAACAAAAAAAGACTTACAAGGAGACTTTGGTAGAGAACATACAATAAATCTTATATTTTATTTAAAGAATGAAAACTCCTTTTAAATTCAGTTGTTTGAATTAAGCCCATTTTGTGAGTTAGCATTCTCTCCTATCTGAGCCATGTCTTATGACTTTACACAGTGAACTAAAACGTTTTTTTTTTAAACACACAGGTTTATATTTCAGGGGAATAAAGATAGCTCCTGTAATAAAAACCAGAAAGTCCTTATCTTGTTCATTGGGTGGAAGGAAGATACAACCAGGCGATCTATCCCTTTTAGCCAAAAATAGAGCTTGAGATTTTTGTCCCAGTTAAATATTTAAGTTAACCAAGTGCTTAGTGAACTATTCAATGTCTTATATTCAGATTCTTTTTAAAAACAGCACATGGCATATAGAGGGATCTATGGCCCAGAACTCAAATAATCAAAGTGTTTTTAAGTTCAAGAAGATTGTTTTCAATTTGCCTTTGATGGGAGCAGATTCTCTTCTTTAAAAAAAAAAAAAAGATTTTGTTTATTCATGTTTAGAGAGATAGGAGGGGAGGAAGAAAGAGAGGGATGTATGAGAGATACATCGACAGGTTGCCTCTCACATGCCCCCAACCACAGACCTGGCCCGCAAGCCAAGCATGTGCCCTGACTGGGAATTGAACTGGTGACCCTTTGGTTTGCAGGCTGGCGCTCAGTGCACTGAGCCATACCAGCCAGGGGAGCAGATTCTCTTCTTAAAGGAAGGTTTAGATTATGCCGTTTCACCTTTATTCTTGATTTTAAATTCCTGAAGGACAGGTAGAGAGCATTTACAACCTCTAGCCACATAATGTTCTCAAAGCTAATAAGTGAGCAATGGGATTCAAATCCACTTTCTACACCCAAACCCTGATCTTCTCAGTATTCCATGGGTGTGACCCTTCTTTAAAGCTTATTCAAGATTCCTAAAGGATTGCAGTTGTTTTTGAGGTTTTTTTCAAATGGTTGTTCAGAAACTGTTTAGATTCTGTTTTTATTTGAAGTGTCAATACATAAAAGCAGAAAAGGGCAGAGTGGCTGTCATCGAGGTTGGGTTAGGGGCCTGAGCCCTGTCCCCTTGGCTTTCTCGTCCCCCTGTCAGCCGCTGGCGGGGGTTCCAAGAGTGGCTCTGCCGTGCCCAGCTTCCGTCAGCCTCAGTCCCATCATCGGCAACGCGCAGCCAGCCTCATGAGTGTCCTCTGAAAGCAAGTGGACCTTTTTTTTTTTTTTTAAGATTTTGTTTATTTATTTTTAGAGAGAAGAGAAGGGAGGGAGAAAGGGGGAGAGAGAAACATGGACCTGCACCCCAGGCATGTACCCTGACTGGGAACTGAACCTGAAACCTTTTGGTTTGCAGGCCAGCATTTAATGCACTGAGCCACACCAGCCAGGGCGGCTGTTGAATCCTTTTAATCAGCCTCTGGTTGGAGGTTTGCAAGGATATCTTTCCCTATAGATCCAATTGTGGTGACAAATGACATTGACATTGTAAAAGAAATACTAGCAATCAAATGCAATGATTTTGAGAATAGCTGTAAAGGTCTTTGCTTTTGCATCTCAGATGAAAGTTGAGATTTCTTTTTATCATTATTACTCTTTTGAAGGTATTGACTTTGCCACTCGTAAGATAGCCAAGCTGCTGAAGCCACAGAAAGTGATTGAGCAAAATGGGGATTCTTTTACCATACACACGTACAGCAGCCTAAGGAACTACCTTGTTCAATTTAAAGTTGGAGAAGAATTTGATGAAGATAACAAAGGCCTGGATAACAGAAAATGCAAGGTAAAGATGAAAGTAATAACATAAGCTCTTTATCAGGCAAGATAATTGGCACTGTACTTAGGAATAGTCGAGGATCCTGCTAGAACAAACTAAGGTTTCTCTCCTCTGTCATGCAGAGCTTGGTCACCTGGGACAATGACAGACTCACCTGTGTCCAGAAGGGGGAAAAGAAGGACAGAGGCTGGACCCATTGGATTGAAGGCGACAAGCTCCACCTGGTACTTGCCACATTGTTCTTTTTCTTTTTTTTAAAAGATTTTATTTATTTATTTATTTATTTATTTAGAGAGGGGAAGAGAGGGAGAGAAATATCAATGTGTGGTTGCATTTCACACGCCCCCGGCTGGGGAACTGGCCTGCAACCCAGGCCTGTGACCTGACTGGGAATCAAACTGGGGACCCTTTGGTTCACAGGCCGGCGCTCGGCCCACTGAGCTACACCAGCCAGGGCACATTGTTCTTATTGTTAGTGAGGCGATATAATATTGAAGAAAATGTTAAACAGGAAGCCATGACCAGCAATCCCGTTATTTCAACACTTTCTACTTGATGTGTTATCTTCTGGTCTCTGTCAGAATATTCTGCTTTTTCATTTCATATAAAAACATATTCCAGGTTTCTAGATAATTTTCCTGTTGAAGTCATTATATTTTAGTTGAATATATAAAATAAGGTAGCAAACTTGCCACACAATATTCCGCCGGGTTAATGAATTTCCAGGTTTGCTTAAATTCGTGTACCTAGAGCTTTCTACCCCCATGGCCTTATTCCCTCGGGAAGAACTCACAGAGGGGTCACTGTGGCCTGAGGCCACACATCATTGCCTCTTGCTGCTTCATTGCCTTACTCACTTCCAAAAGGGTGCATCGCTGTCCCATGCCGCCAACGAGCACTTCATGAACATGTAAATTATAGCTCAACCTAATATATTTCTAAACATAATCTTGAAGGTATACTATTGTACCTCAAGGCTTACAGAGAGCTTTTTCAGCGAGAATCTCTTCCTGCCATGTGTGTTATGATGCTTACATTTTTCAAGTGATGACTTTGTGCCCAGTTACATGGTAAGTCCTCTGAGGGGATTATCTCACTTAGTCTTCAAGACAGTACCTTGAAAGAGATACTGCTTTCCCCATTTACAAATGAAGAGATTGAGGTTTAGAAATTCCCCAAGGCCGCACAGCGAGACTGAAATCCAGATCTGACAAGAATGTGTGCTTTCAACTATATGCCTTGTTTGCCTTAACACGTGTATGAAATCTAGGTGAAATCCATGAAAACAAAATTAGAGCGCTAGTCTTAAAGTTGGAATGGTCTTTGAGGGTCAGGGGAGGCTTTGATTACAACGGCACCGAAGACATTTTGATTCTAGATTGACAACTCTCACAATCTTCTGACAATAAAAACAAAGCAGGAAACTCGCCATCACAAAAACGGCATCACAAAGAAAATACAAGTATGTTTGAGAATTCGGGTTAGTTGGCTGTGAGAAGTAATGTTCGAATTGCACACATCCTCCTTGGGCATGTCCAGGAACTCTGCCCAAGCAGACCCTTGGAGGCTAGAGATTGAGTTACTCACCAATAGCTAATGATTCAATCAACCAGTTGTGCCTATGTAATGGAACCTCCATAAAACCTCCTAAGTGAAGGAGTCCAGGGAGCTTCCGGAGGGGGTGGGAATGTTGACGTGCTGGGAGCGTGGGACTCCTGGAGAGGCCTGGAAGCTCCACATGCCCCTGGCCCCTGCCCCAAGCTCTTGGTCAGTACCTTCTCCTATGCATCTGTTCCACGGGGCTGTTCCTGCGTTGTGGCCTTAACAAAACACCTGTGCACATAATTGACGTGTGTTCCTGAGTTTTGTGAGCCATTCTAGCGAATTATTGGACTTGAAGAGGGAGTCACGGGAACCCTCACTGGTTGGTCAGAAGTATAGGTGACCAGGGACTCGCAATTGACATCTGGAGAGGGAACAGTGAGCCCCAGGCCTGCAGGCTCTGCACTCACTTTGGATTGTTAGTGTCAGAATTGAGTTGACTTAATGGATACCAGTGGGCGTCAGAGTTGGAGAAGGGGGTTGGAAAAGACAGCACATAATTGGTGTCAGGAAGGAAAAAACCGCACACACTTGGTGTCAGAGCATTGCGAATACTGATAGACCACATGCCAAGTCATCTTCTTCTTCCCTCCCTCCTGATCCCTAGGAAATGTTCTGCGAGGGCCAAGTGTGCAGGCAGACGTTCCAGAGAGCCTGATCCGCGTCCAACAGCGGGGCCGCGCAGGGCTGAGGCTTAATACCAGGCCATATTCCAGAATGAACAGGTGTCAACCTGTCCTGGCTTGGTGATGGGGCCTTGTGGTCAGAGAGCCTGCGCCAGAAACCACTTGCATTGTGGGAAAGCTGTTTCGCTTCAATAAACCTGTCCGATGACTCTGACTTTTTCTTCTCCATGTTAGCATATCCCGCTATTTTAGGAAATATTTGGTCTTTGGTGGATACACCAGTGAGTAAGATGTGATTCCTGCCTTCAAGGTCTGGCGAGGACAGCAGATGAAAGGAGCCGCCCGAGCAGTGGAGATAAGGGCGGGCAGCTGTGGGGAGGGCAAGCCTGACTTTTTTGGGCATGGGCAAGTGGCGGCAGGGGTCTGGGGTTGGGGGGCGGTCCTTAGCTAAGACCTGAAGCCTAGGTAAGCAGCAAGCATCGGGAAGCATTCCAGGGGAAAGGCTGGCACTGAGTCGGAGGGATGTGTGAAGAACTGAAGAGATTGCCTTAGCTGGATCATGAGTGTACGTGGGAGGGTGGGTGGGTGGGGAGAGATGACAGAGGAGCCTGGATTGTGCCAGGCAGGGGTACGATCATGAAGCTTGAATGCCAGGGTCAAGAGGTAAGATTTTGCCCCCAAAGCAATGGGAAGATAGTGACTGGCGTTAAGCAGAAGCGCTGGCTCATAGAGAGGAAACCCAGGGCAGAGGGAAGAAAGGATTGCAGGTGGGGGAGGCCATTCGAAAGCCTTGCAGGGAATCGCAGTGTGACCTGGTGTCGGTCAGGAGCACTGGGAGCCGAGGTCTCAAACAAAGGGAACAGGCTCTTCAGGATGGAGAGAAACAACCAATTATTTTTTAAAGATTTAGTTTATTTTTAGAAAGAGGGGAAGTGAGGTAGAGAGGAAAAGAAACATCAGTGTGTAGAGAAACATAGATTTGCAGCCTCTCACATGCCCCCAACTGGGGACCTGGCCCACAACCCAGGCATGTACCCTGACAAGGAATCGAACCTGTGACCTTTCAGTTTGCAAGACGACACTCAACCCACTGAGCCATACCAGTCAGGGCACTGATTATTTAGGAGGCAGAATCCATGGTCCAGTGTGATCATGAGACGTAGAGGCGATGGAAGGGGGAGGAATGAAGGAAGATGCCCTGTTTTGGGTTCAGGCAGCTGCAGGATGGCTGGAGCCACCCAGAAAGAAGGGTAACACAGGCAGAAGAGGGAAGAGGAGCTGGAGCTTTAGACTTTGAGTGTCTGCACCCAGTGAGAGCCAGGCTGCCAGGAGGCAATGAGTGGATGGGTCTGCAGACAAATACAAGTTGTCAAGTGTATAAACTATGCATATGAACGGGACTATCGGGGACATTGTGTTTAAAGTGAGAAAAGAGAGAAACCTTTCTTTAGAAAACCTGCAAAGAAAGGGTGGTCAGAAGGTCTGGAGAAACAGGGTGGCATCAGGGAAGCCAAGAAAGACACGTTTCAGGGTTGAGGGAGGGCTCCGCACTGGCTGCGATGCCCGGGTACCAAGGAGGCAATTCCTTGACTGTGGTAAGAACTACAAAAAGAAGAGGAAGAAAGAAGCAGCAGCAGGATGTTGATGGTGCCCTTTTAAGCTGATTAAGAAAGTCTCAGGAAGTTGTGACACTTGGGCAGAGCCTTACGGTGAAGAAACAAGCTTTGTGGACCAGCAGGCCAGAGAACCAGTGCAAAAGCCCGGAGGCTGAGGGCGTGTGATGCGCTGGAGTTGCAGCCGGAGGCACGGGGAGCAAGGTCCAGAGTAAGGAGATGAAGCTGGTTTCCGGCAGAGCCAGGGCACTTAGAGCAGCCTTTTCTGCTAGGCCGCTGCTTTTAGCCCCTGGAAGCACCAATGCAGTTTAGGGTATGGAAGCTGTTGATTTTTTTTTTTTTTTTTTTTTTTTTTTTTTTTGGTCCTTTAAGGTGTCACGTTATGGGACTCTGAGAGCTCAGGTCACAGTCAGAGAGTATCTCTTAGCAAAGCTGTCTTCCCTTCCACCCCCTCTTGCAGGCTGGCCAGCTCTAGCCTGGCTGACTCTCGCCTATCCAATATTATGATTCAAGTCTCTTACAGGACTTGACCGAAAGCAGAAACAGGTGACCAGTTATAGATCTTTGCCTTGTGCAAGCTATAGTTCATGTTAAACAAATATATAAGGAAGGGAAGTTTTCATTAATAGAAGAGTGCCAACTAATAGATATGAAAAAGATAAATAGACTTAAAAGATCAACACTTTTCAATTATTTTTTAAAAATTTTATTTTATTTGATTTTTTTTTTTTTTTTTTTTTTAGAGAGAGAGGGGAAAGAAGGGAGAAAGAGAAGGAAAGAAACATTGATGTGAGAGACAAACACTGACTGGTTGCCCGACCTGGGACCAAACCTGCCACCCAGGCATGCACTCCAACTGGGAATTGAAATGGCGACCTTTTGGTTTGTGGGATGATGCCCAACCCACTGAGCCGCACTGGCCAGGGCAACATTTTACAATTCTTAGTGAAAGCGCGGACTTGGGGAACGATCGCCAGTGGCTGCTAAAAGCATTAGAAGAAGAGTTAGTTGGTTCTTTAAAATGAACGGGTCAGGCTGACACCGCCCACAGGAACAAAGTGATCAGTCTTGCCGCTCAAGGTGGGGACAGGCACTGTATGTGATACTCAACAGTAGCACCTCTGAGTCCTTTTCAAAAAAGAAAAGATTCAGGTTCCAAATCAGCTCGTAAATCTACTTACTGGAATAGAGGGAGATAGAAAGATGTGTTCATGACACTATCAATCAACTCTAGAATGTGGGGAATTCGGTTCCAGAAGATAAGCACGCGGTGACTTCTGCCATTCACATGGCATGATAAAGATGGGGAAGGAGAATTGTTCTCTATTAAAAGAGGCAAAGAAGCAGGGGTCATGTCGATCAAAAGTAACGTGAATTTTGTTTATATCAATATTAGGATTCAAATAAACCATAGAAATATGTCTTTCAGGTAATTAGGAACATTTGAACACAGAGTGGACGAAAAAGATTCAATTTTCTCTGTGTTAATGGTATTGTAGGTGTGTTTTTAACTGGTATTTTAAAGACATACCGACATATCCCTGACCAGTGTGGCTCCATTGGGTGGGTGTTGTCCCGCAAAGCAAAAGGTTGCCGATTCGGTTCTTGGTCACAGCACGTGCCCAGAATGTGGGTTCAGTCCCTGGTCAGGACATCTGTGGGAGGCAACCGATTGATGTTTTTCTCCTTTTCTTTCTCCTCCCTTCCTCTCTCAGGAAAAAAAAAAAAAAAGACATACTGACATATTTACAGGTAAAATTATATGTTTGAAATTTGCCTTGAACGATTCTGCAAAAAAAAAAAAACAAAGAAGAAGCAAAAACAAAACATTAGGTATATAGATGAAACAAGGTTGCAAATTTTTAAATAATTTATTTGACCTGGGTATGTGTAGGTGCTATGGACTGAATTATACCCCCCCCCCCCATTCATACCTTGAAGCTCTAACCACCAATGTGGTTAGAGACTATTTGGAGACAGGGTCTACAAGGAGGTAATCAAGGTTCAACGAGGGCAAAAGGGCGGGGCCCTGATCCAACAGAATTAGTGTTCCTACAAGAAGTGACTCCGGAGAGTGACTCCTCTCCCCCCACCTCCCTCTCTCTTGACATGCTAAGTTTGGGGGGAGGGGAGGACATGTGAGTACCAGGCGGCCATGTGCAAGCCACAAAAAGAGCTTCACTGGGAAACAGATCCACTGGCACCCCGGTCTGGACTTCCAGCTTCCAGAACCATGAGAAACAAATTTCAGTTTTTTAAGCCCCCCAGTCTGTGGTGTTTTGTTGTGACAACCCAAGCTGACTTCTTAGCATCAAGAAGTGGAGCGCTACTCTTAACAAATACTGAAGGCGTGGAAATGGCTCTAGAGCTGGGTAAGTGGGTGGAGGCGGGAACAGCTTTGAGGTGCTTGTGAGAAAAAGCCTAGATTGCTCTGGGGGGGCCTGTTGGTAGAAATACAGGCATTATTGGCCATTCTGATGAGGTCTCAGGCAGAAATGAGGGCCACATTATTGGAAACTAGAGAAAGCTGTATCACTTAGAAATGCATTTAGCGTCAACTAATAGAAAATGTGACTAAGAATAACATAATGTGTAGTTTTGTTATTTGCCTTTTTAATTCTTTTTATCCTCACCCAAAGGAATGCTTATTAATTTTGGAGAGAGGGGAAGGGAGAGAAGGAGAGAAACATCGACATGGGAGAGAAATATCAACCGGTTGCCTCTCATACATGCCCCAGCCAGGACCGAACTCACAACCTGGGCACGTGCCCTGACTGGGAATCCAGCCCGCAGCCTTTCAGTGTATGGCATGACGTTTCAACCAACTGAGCTGCACCAGCCAGGGCTTGTTTGTTTTTTAAATATCATATAACAAGTTGAGAGAGGCCATCTAGCTCTGGGAAACCTGCTTGAGGACCCCAAAAAGGATCCAAGAATCTTCTGTCTATGTTGGACAGGAAGGACTTAGCAACTTCAAACTACTTACTGTTGAGGAGGAAGAAGGAGCGTAGGCTGGGGAGCTTTAATTTATTTCTTTAAAAAAAAATTCCTGTTGTTTATTTTTATTTTTTTATGATTTTATTTCCTTATTGTTAGAGAGAAGGGAAGGGAGGGAGAAAGAGAGGAAGAGAAACATCAATTTGTGGTTGCCTCCCATGCACCCCCTACCAGGGACCTGGCCTGCAACCAAGGCATGTGCTCTGACTGGGAATCGAACTGGTGACCCTTTGGTTTGCAGGCCAGCACTCAATCCACTGAGCAACACTAGCCAGGGCTTTAATTTATTTTTTAAGCAGAAAAGATTTAAACTGATATCTCTCCAGTCAGATTGGAACCTTTCCCCAATGTGAATAGTTTTCCCTTTCCTTTGGCAAGAAAGGTCTCAGAGCAGGACCATCCATGACAGGAATGAGGAAGAGGGGACAGGATGAGGGGACGAGAGGCTAGAAGCTCAAAAGCAGCTCCAGACCCTGTCGGGCAGCCCTGATGCTGATTCTTTCCCCTCTTAACTTGGGCAAACCAGCCCATGTGCCAAGTAGAAAGGACTGGCCCCCATCTCTTTGGGGAATGGTGAAAGGACCAAAAACCAAAC